GATCCGGTTGGTCTCTTAGATAGGCATCAGTAGAGAGAAGTTGTCTTTGTGATTTGACGTGTTGTTGGAGTGTCAGCAAGTTATCATTATTTTTTTGAAATTCATGAAAGTGGTTAGTTAGGTTTGAGTCCTGGAGGTGGAAAATACATTGTGTTGTGATGGAAGCGGTTTGGAAGGTCGTCTGAACTGTAATGTCATCATGCTCCTGGTAAGATAATCATTGAACGAGTGACAGTGAAAGTGTTTTCTTTTTTGTCGGGTCACCCTACCTCGGTGGGAGACGGCCGGAGTGTTAAGAAATACATTTAAAGAATGTATTAGAATTAAAAATTGATAGTGTGCTATACAGGTATTGGTGGATTTGTGGACAGCAACAGAATCGTTGGTCAGCCAGCAGTGTAAACTGACCATTAATTGTCTCCCAAGGTCATTTCTGCCATCAGCCTCTGTTGAAAAACGTAAAGTTCTATTACACCCACAGTATTCCTTGGAACAATAGAATTTTATACAAACTAGTGCGAAGAACATTCTAATTAACAGATGAAGATATTAAACTTAATAATAGTTGTCCTGGGAAATACGTAATACAAAGCTACTGTACAACCAGAGAAGGTTCTTGATACAGGAAACATAACCTAGACTTTTCTTTCTTAGATAAAATGTAATTACCTTCCATTCCCAATATGTTGTATAAGTTGTGCATCTATGGCTCTTCCCAGTGATAATATGATAAAATCATAAATCCAATACTTTGAGGGCAATATTATTTTTATTGTTTGTAGATAAGACATATTTGCGCAGTTCAAGACACTTACCGAGGAACTGACTTCTTCAGTCCTAGGATATAGACAATTAAGAAACGAGTTTAAAGAGCTGAAGGAATAAAGTGACGTTGTGAGAGGCTAGAGGTAATATAAGCTGATCTGTGATGTGCAGGAACGGAGAAGGATCTGTTAGCAGGTAAGTGCGGAGGTGACACTGATGGATGGTGTCATCTAATAACAGTGCCCAGGTTGTGTAATAAGTGCTTTGCTAAGGCTGGAAACGTTATATAAACATTATTGATGTGCGAAAGTGTTGGTCACTGGTCCTAACAAGCTACGGTGTCTTGTAGCTCACTTTCTAGGGCACTTAACTTACACACTGAGGTCCGTGATACGATTCCTGGTATGGGAACAAACATTAGGACGTGTTTCCTTAACACATCTGCTGTACCTGTTATCTATCAGTAAAATAGGTACCTGGGTGATAGTCGATTGGTGTGGGTTGCTTCCTGGGAGATTATTATTATTATTATAATCAAAAAGAAGCGCTAAGCCACAAGAGCTATACAGCGGTTCCTGGGAGAAAATTGACCTAATTTGCCAGAAATGCTCTGCATAACAAGGGGCTTTCTATATAGTTTTATATAACTGATGACAGCTAGGCATGTATATCTTGTACATGTACTTGTAGAAACAAAGATTATTTATATTATTACGGCATCTAAACACCATCGACTTTATAGGTCATTTTCTGTACTGGTTTACGTGTTCTTACTTCCAGGGATCTTGCTGCTTGTCCCACGTACTTCTTAACACATTTTCCACTAGGTCTGGCACAAATTTCTGCACTGGTGGTTGTGACAACACAACCACAGTGCTGAACATGAGTCTGTAGCTGTTCTAAACTAACTACTTCTCGTTGTCAGAGACATGTTTAAAGCTACAGTACATTGCTAGCAAGCAAAACAATGCACTTGGCCGGTATCTCTTCTATTGTTCCGGTTGAAAATGCTTTCTGTAAGCTTCTGCAATCGGCGATGAAACATTTCAGTGCAACTTTTTAATTGTCGAGGACATAAGTACAAGCAACAGTTTGAAAAACTAGGAATCATTTACATACTGTATGCAAGCACAACTCAGAACTTGGTTGTGTTAGATCTATGATATTTTGATTATTTTACCCACGCGACGCAAAGTTCTTCAACACAATCAACAGCTTCGAGCGATAAGAAGATTTACCATTATAAAAGAGATGTGCAACGGGTTAATACTTAGATGTGTTACTGGCACTGGCAGAACAGACTCTTGATCAAAGGTCAATAGAGAAATCACCTGTCAACTTGTTTTCCTCCTATATCCGATACATAACTAAAAGTGTGTTATTGGTTGGATCTTTCTAAGTTCATATAAGATGTTAACCAAAATGTTCCTCGAAAAGAATAGAATTCATTACACAAGCTTCATTTGTAAGAAAAATAATGAACATTTCGGATTTTTAACTGGAGGGTTACCACCAGGATAATCATGAAAGTCGGTTTTATCAACAAACTTTCAATGCGCAGAAAACTAATATGGAAGTTCAGCGCTGAGAAACAATTCCCTGAAATGGTAAACAGTCGAGGAATTAAAACTTGAGTATAAAACAAATTCAAGTCAGACAATATGAACGCTAAAAACAAAACTGGGAATGTGGAGGACCAATTAAGACATACGTACAATGTCTGCAGAAATGACATGGATTGCTCAACTAGTCGGTTGAACCATGCACTCTTCGGGATGACTTGTGCATTGGCGTGTGGCTACAAAAAGCCTCAAGGCAGGTGAAATTCTGAGAGAACAATTACAGAGATTTTGACCAAGCCTGAATGAATCTTCAGGTATGTGTTGTTTATATACTAGTGGATTTACCAAACTACCAAAATCACTTCACAACAAGGTAACAGTCGGCGTTAGAAATTACCTCCAAAGAAAGCAGGTTCATCTAGGTGAACTTGAAGTGAGAACCTGTAAGTGACAAACCAAGACTGTTGACTCCATCAGATAACATGTGAAGAATTAAGTAAACCTAGCTAGTCTGCAAGCAAGCCTGGAACAAAAGCACTCAGTCGTACGCTGAACCGAGTTCGGTCGTAGAACAGTGCAGCCGCATGTACAGAACTGGTGGGTACACTATGCCATTAAATGCAACACAGTAAGGCCTGCGGGGAACAACTATTTCACGTGAAAATTCATGTACATAAGGACGGTGTCTTACATTTACAACTCGTCCCCCTGATCAATCATCACTGACAACACCTCGTAACTCCCATACTGCTAGGGTGACGTAGGATGTAGGTGACTAACACAGTAACAATCTCTAGAGTATGACAGGACTGAATGTAAGAAACATGCTTCTGTTCCAGTGCGAGGTGCAGAACATCCAATGTGACTTCCAGAGCTTCTCTACAACTAACGTGCATGCACCTTCAGGACACGTGGACCATTAGCGAAAATACAACAATTATTGCGCTTAATCTGTGAAAGAGTATCAACATCCTGAAATGAGATCAGTGTTATAACACTTCAAACTCTTCCACTCAGTATGAAGTGCAGAAAACTCATACTCGAGTAGACTGGATTCGTACAATAACTTAGATAGGTGTGAAGAAGTAAGTGAGGAAACTTGATTCGAATGTTCACAAACTAAGCGAATTTTAAAACCCATTCTGTGTGTACAGAAGTACAGACAACGCCACATGAAGATTCTCAGATGCTTACTAATCTATACGCATGATAATAACTACGCCTTACAGGTTTATCGCCACTAGATGACACGTAACTCACATTTCCATAAATCAGTTTTGCACTTAAGCTTGCTGATACTAATCCTAATCCATAACTGTCCAGCCACCATCACTTCTACTGCGAGTAAGAAACAGACGAGCAATCTTTCCCGACGGGTTTGGGTTATAGACCGACTTACCATCATCTGACGAGCTTCCTATGATTATTCGTTGGATAACTCATCTTGAAATTTAAAATTTTAATCATAGCTTTGTAGTCTCCATCAGGGACTAAGCAAGCAAGTTGCCAATGGACATGTCATCTATATTAACATATATACACTATACCCCGGTCTGTACAGTGGGCACTAGTCTTAAAGTTGTCTTCACTAGTAACTGAGTACATTCAAAGTCCTCATTAAAGTGTAATGTTCAGTTGAGTCATTATCTTACACAGTACTTTACTGTCATTACTGTAGTAGTATATTTACTAAGTGTAGATATGCTAGAATATCATTTATTAGTGGTATTAAATATTGTTAGAGAAGTAGTAGATAGTTGAAGCTAGTATAGTAGAAGTACGCATAGTCACAGTAGTAGAAGTAGAGTATAGTAGTAGTAGTGAATAGTATTAAAGTGTTAAGTAGTATAGTATTATTAGTAGTAGAACCCTCAGTAGTAGTTATAGTAGTAGAAGAGTAGAAGTAGTAGCTAATGTGAAGTGTAGTTTATAGTAGTAGAAGTAGTAATAGTACTGTAGTGTCTTCAGTAGAATAGTAGTAGTATATATGATAATTATATTAGTATATATTACTATAGTATAGTATAGAGACACTATAATAGTATATCTATAAATAGTAGTATGAATAGTTCAAGTAGAGATCTATTAATACTACCTATCTAGTAGTAGACCTCATTACCTTATATTATATGTTATGATGAAAGAGATCATTTGTATATATATATAGTATAGTAAGTATATTATTAAAGTATTAATATTAGTATTATGTAGTAGTAGTAGTACTAGTAGTAGTAGTAGATAGTAAATATTAGTAGTAGTAGTTGTACTAGTAGTAGTAGTAGTAGTAGTATAGTAGTAGTAGTAGTTAGTATGTAGTAGTAGTAGGGAGTAGTAGTAGTACTTAGTAGTAGTAGTAATGTGAGTATAGTATTCTGTAGTAGTAGTAGTGTAGTAGTAGTAGTTAGAAGTAGTATTTAGTAGTATAGTGTAGTAGTAGTGGGTATAGTAGTATAGAATAGTGTGTAAGAAGTAGTAGTAGTATAGTATAGTAGTAGTAATAGTAGTATATTAGTAGTAGTTAGTAGTAGTAGTAGTAGTATAGTAGTAGTAGTAGAAGTATTTATTTAGTAGTAGTAGTAGTAGTAGTAGTAAGAAGTAGTAGTAGTAGAAGTTAGTAGTAGTAGTTAGTAGTAGTAGTACTAGTGTAGTAGTAGTAGTAAGTAGTAGTAGTAGTTGTTAGTAGTAGTATAGTAGTAGTAGTAGTATGTGTCGATATACACTAAAGTAGGGGATAAATACCTGTAGAACTTTATATAGATTTAGCAGGTAATAAAATACCTGTGAGAGCAGTATATAGAACTTATGGGTAATAAAATACTGTAGACATTTGTAATATAGTATTATAGGTAATAAATACCTGTAGAACATGTAATATAGAACTTATGGTAATAAAATACTGTAGACATATGTAATATAGAACGTTATAGGTAATAAATACCTGTAGAACTTTGTATATAGAATTTAAGGGTAATAAATACGTAGACATTTGTATAGAACTATGGTTAATAAAATACTTGATTTTATATAAAACTTATGGGTAATAAAATACCTGTGAGAACATTTGTAATATAGAACTTATGGGTAATAAAATACCTGTGAGAACATTTGTAATATAGAACTTATGGGTAATAAAATACCTGTGAGAACATTTGTAATATAGAACTTATGGGTAATAAAATACCTGTGAGAACACTTGTAATATAGAACTTATGGGTAATAAAATACCTGTGAGAACACTTGTAATATAGAACTTATGGGTAATAAAATACCTGTGAGAACACTTGTAATATAGAAGTTAATATTGACAATTTGGTAAATAAAGACTGACAGAAGACATGATCAAAATGCACTTCAGACACTTTCAATTACTTCCTGGCTCTTGATCCAAGGAATCAGAGCTACTCATCCTCTTCCTCTGATCAAACTTCATCGTCTTCCAGTTTCTTATGTAACCCCTGTGGGTATAGCATTTCCCATTAAAAAATGTAAATATTTCTTTGATATGTTTCTACTGCTTAATAAAACAGTCGGTTAATACTCACTTCAAGTTCAGTAAAGTCGTCAGCAAGGGTTATTTTTCCAGGGTTCTGAACAGCTTTTTGAATCTTATCTCGGTTCTCCTCAGCAAGTTTCCTAACTGAGTTGTTTCCCCTTTTCCTATAAAATGAAACATATAATATCGATAGTCAGTTTTACTTCTTTTCAAGTGTACTTTGAGATTATGTACAAGAATGGTATACAATACCGACAAGATGAAATTGAGACACATGTGCAACATCTGGGTATCTTTATTGTAGACGTTTCGCCATCCAGTGGCTTTATCAATACAAATTCCAGGACATAACTTGAAGACAGGAGAACTATGTACAGAAGATGAGGTAATCAGTCCCTCAACCTAGCAGTCGATACGATACGATACGATAGGACTCACAGGTAAGGACCCATGAGGGGCGAGGGGCAAGTGGGGACAGTGCGAAGAATAGATGGTGAGAGGAATGTCTTGAGTTGAAGAGAGAAGAGTCAGGACTAAACCCAACTGCTAAGCCTGGATAAACAATAACGAAGACGACATAAAAGACAACAGGGACTCTGCGGGGTGCTGACTGCAACTGACTGGAAGCACTTCAACTTGCAATGACTGGATATGGTTCAGGACACGTTGTTGCAAAGGCGACGCAAAACGCACATCGCAAGCACTTCAGCCCTAAAAACGCACAAAGACGCACTTTTAAGTTATTTGAATTTTTAAGCAAAAGTCAGATAATTTTTTGTGTATTGTGGTGGAGGTGCCTGGATCATTCAATGATTGAAAAAGATTTACATCATTGTAAGGACGTCTGAGAGTATCAGCTAAGTATGTAGTCCAGTAGTCATGATATGTTTCAAGTCTGTCAAGTTGTTTGTCACTAAGTGTCTTCCAGTATACGTTCAAAGCTGGTGTGTTTGTCGTGAGGTGGAGAGATTCACTGGTGGCAAATTCGTCCCACCTCACTCCCAACACCCAACGTAATGCACGATTCTGGATACGTTGAAATTTTAGTGCGTTTGTCTTGGCAATTAACGTCAGAGCGAGTGGAAAGTAAGAGAGTAGAGGTCGAATGAGTGCTTTGTAAAGATGTAGTTTTGTCTTGGGACTGCCTCCTCACAGCTTATATAACCTTGAGAGTGCAGTTCCCGCCTGTATGGTCTTTGTAGTAATGTGAGATTTTAAGTTCAGTGTGTGGTCGAGGGTAAACACCAAGGACAACTGTCGTGAAGGAGCGTGGGATGGGGGTACGGAGGTGCTTGTTTTGAGTTCGACAGGAGTGGGGACATCACGCATTCTATGGAAGTAAGTGATTTTTTACTTATTTGGGTTGGTTTTGATGCGCCATAATAATTCCCAGGCGGTAATCCTGTCGACATCTCTTTGTGTTCTGCGTGCAAGGAAACGAAAGTTTTCATGTGTTGTGAAGTTGAGTGATGTCATCTGCGTAAGAAAGGGTAATTGTGTTTGGGTAAAGAGGTTCAGGTAAATCATTCGTGTAGAGTATATATAGGGTGGGAGATAGGAACAGAGCCTTGGGGTACACCCGCTTTTAATGTGAAATAGTCCGAATAATGATCTCTGAACCGTATACGCATCGTTCGGCCATCTAAAAAATGACATAATAATTTCATCATATTTATAGTTAAGTCAAAGGAAGTGCAAAGTTTGTATTTTAATCCTTCATGCCAAACAGTGTCAAAAGCTTTCTCTACATCTTTGGCGACAAGGGCGGAGGTACAGTTCTGGGCTTTATTGATACGTACAAGTTCAGGATTATATTCAAAACGTCTTGGGTAGATCGTTTTTTTGTCGGAAACCGAATTGTCTTTCAGTAAGCAAGTTTATGTGTCTCTAGGTGAGTCCTGAGTCGCATATTTACAAGTCGTTCAAAGGTCTTACCCAAAATTTCAAGGAGGCTAATTGGGCTATAGTTCTTGGGGTCAGTCAAGTCCCTTTTCCCAGGTTTTGGTATGGAACATGCAGTTTTCAGATTTAAAGAATGGGGGGAAATAGCCAGATGCAAGAGAGGCATTAAAGAGGTCAGTGATAGCAGAAGCAACAGAAAGTGGAAGGTGACGAAGGACTGAATGTGACAGACCTGAAGCACCTGGAGCTTTGTTTGGAAGGTGTGTTAGTAAGGAGTGAACATCATTTATCAGTTAAAAGGAGAGTTTAGAAGGATGTGTGGAAGATAGGGTTTTAGGTTTATGATTGGGTCAGGATGGTTAATTCTTCATGGTTGGATACCCATCTCTCTATGTCTAATGTATGTGCTATGACAGCTAGGTCTGGTGGATGTGGGTGGAAGATGTTTTCCCATATGTCTTTGAAAATGATGTACCGCTTCAGCAGGGTCAGAGATCTGTCTGGTTGTTGCTGTTTATGTGTCTAAAGGCTGTGGATCGAGGGGTGCCTGTAAGTTTCCGAATGGATGACCAGAATGCTTTGGGATCTCTTGTACGCTGTACATCTGTATGATTTATAAACTGATTGCCAATGTCGGGCGTGGTCATCGTCTAGGCTATGGATGATATGTGTACGTAAAATAGTGAGGTCCCATCGGATGATATTGTGTCTGTTTTGGTTTGCTAGGAAACAGTGTCTGTAACATGTGAGTAATCTTTTTGTTCTTTCTGATGGGCGAAAAGAGTATCGTACTTTGTGGTGTGTCATTGGACAACCTCTGTAGCAGTTTGGGTAATTGATTGTTGAATGCGTTGAATTTGTGTGTCTATGTCTGATACTGGTCTATTGTCTAGTTGTGTGTGAGATCAAGAGTGTTTAGGCGTTGTTTGAACAGATCCCAGTCCGCCTGAGAATAAGCTGGAGAGGGGCGAAACTGGAATGAGTATAGGATTTAAGGAAATATGCAAAATGAAAGGAATGTGGTCAGATCCAGAGAGCGGTCCTGGTGTTGTGTAGTGATGTAAGCGATTACATAGCTCTGTTGTAAAAATTTTATCAGGGATGCCTTGGCCATTGTGTGTATAGACTGTTGGGAAGTAAGGGCCGAGGTGCATGAGATGTTTCTGTGTTACAAGTGTATGAAGTTGCCTTCCATGCAAATTTGTGAAGTTGTCATGGAAGTCTGTGTGTTTGGCATTTAGGTCGGCAAGTAGGTATACAGGGAGATGTGTAAAGATTAAAAAGAATGGTTAAATCATGAATGTTAATGTTTGATGGGGTCTAATATATGTCGTGTACACGATGATGGGTCCGTGTATTGTGTAAATTTTCACAGCCATGCTGTGAGAATATGTAAATGGAAGGGATAAGAACTCATGTTTAATTGTACTTTTAACAAGAATAGCTACGCCATTCCAGTGTTCAGCAGGAGACTGACGGGCTGTATATCCTAAGTGTCTGACACGTTGATCATCACGAACACACGTGCTGTTTAATAGCAACACGTCATGGTTGTTCTGATTCAACGAGGGCAGCAAGAATGTATTTGTTTGCGTTATAAGCTCTTATGTTAAATTGAATAACCTTAAGGGCCATGGTTGGGGTTACTTGAAGGACGAAATTGTAAGTCTTTCCTATTTTTATCGTGCTAACCCAGCACCTGATCTATATTTGGTCGGTTGTGTTTTACGGTTTCTGGATTGAGAACGGGAAGGGGAAGATGAGAGGGGCCTGGAGTAGGAGGGGGGTACTAGGTGTAGTGTTAAGATGAGAGGATGAGTTGGGGCGAGAGGGAGAGGGCGAGGGCGGGGCTTGATTTATTAAGTGCTGAACTTTATCCAGACATTTGTCGAATCCGGGAGAGATGTTATACCTTGTAACCACAGTAGTAGATCGAGACTTGAGAGTAGGAGAACGAGAAGGACGAGTAGAGGAAGAAGGAGGTTGAGATCGTTTGGTGTTAGAGCCAGAACTGGTGGAAGGATTAGAAGGACAGGATTTTGGCATATGGGTGGAAGGAGAAGGGTCTGCCTGAGTAGAAGCTTGAAGAGGAGTTTCTATGGAGTGGAGGAGAGGGGGTTGGAAAAAAGTTCATCCTTAGGAAGAAAGAAATCAGGAGGGAAAATGATGGGGTCAAAGTTGTTGGCTTTCAAAAGATCATTCAGCATCGTTGGATAGTTGGCTTTATGACAGTATACAGCAGTGAGCACAATGGTTTCAAGGATATTAGATTGTTTTGAGGATGAAGAGGCCGAGGGAAGGTTGGTTTGTGCAGCAGCAGCATAGGAAGGATGAGTTGTAGAAGTGGTAGCAGGAGGAACATAAGAGTTTGGTTGGTAAGTGGATGAGAATGTTGTCTGTGTTTGTGAGCGTGGAGTCAAGACTGGGTTTGGGAGGTTCAGAGGTTGGTCTTTCCGTAATGAAGAAACATAATCCTTACGAGTAGGGCAGTTGAAAGAAGTAGCAGAATGTGCCTGAGAAACAGTGCAAACATTTTAGAGTGTTGGAAACATTTTTGCCATGTGTGGCCTGGAGAAAGAACACTTGGAACACAGCTGTTGCTTGTCACAAGTATTCTTTAGATGTCCAAACTCAAGGCATTTGTAGCACTGATGAATAGCGACATAGTTAGGTAGAAACAATGAAGTAGGTGGAATAAGAAAGTAGTTAGCTCGAACACCGTGTTTGAACAGTTTATCAGCCTCATCTGGAGTGGAACATCTGATCTTAAGGATATTAGAGCGTTCAGGATGGAAAAGTTCCTCAACTGTGACTTGATTTTGAGTTGAAATGTCTGTCATCAAGGCGTCTTTGTTCTGGGTGTATTCGTTTAGCAGTGATGAGTCAACAAATTTTGCCACGACTGTACTCCTGGCCTTTTGATCAGGAGCCCAATCGATAGCAAAAACCTGCCTGAAAGAGCTTTTCTCGGACTTCCTTACTTGTACATAGGTCATAGTTGACAGGATCAAGATTAACCTTACATCCGTATGGGTCTTGAAGATGTTTATCATTCGAGCCTGGGTAATATTGAAAAAGGTAGAGGCATAGTCAATCGTATCCTTGTCAGCTTTAGAGTACTTTAACATCAAGGCCATTGTCGAAAACTGGGTCTCTGTTAGTTGCCATGATGACAACAGCACAGGTGGATATGCCGCTTGAATCGTGAGTGGCGTCTAAGGGGCGTCAAGTGCGTAATTCTGACAGATCATGTTTGTGATTTTAGGTGTACCTGCCAAGATTAGGTTTCCCGTGCGTTAATTACAAGGAATGCAGCCACGGGCACCGGACCACGAAATACTCCCACCGACGCAGGAGCAGGTCCAGCCGATCCAGAAAAAAAGAAGAAAATTTTAGAGGAGGAGAAAGGTGCTGGTGTTCCAGAGCGATATAGTCAAGCCGATCCACTGTGTGGGGATCTTTAACCACCTCAATGAAGAGGGCTTGGCTGGCCTCTGAGGAGATTACGGCACAACAGAGAGCTAAACCCGTGTCACCACAAAAAAGATATTGGTTTAAAAAAAAGCTGTCTAATTCTCAAAGATGCCTTCACAGCCGAAAAACGAGTAAGAGGATGTCGGTATGCAAGGATTACACATACACAGAGTGCATAGGTGTGGTCGTGATGCTCTTGAACAATATACCAGCAGGTAACATCCAACAGGTTGAGGTGGGAAGACTTCACCCAGCTGCAAGAGTGCAGAGGCCAACGGTCTGCCCTGGGGCAGGCAGCCAGCGACGCACCAAGTCCTGGAGCCAAGATGAAGAGTTTCCAGAAATCAACCAATCAGGCAATGTCTTCTTAAAACAAGAAAATCAATGCTATTTTTCCTTAACAAACACACCAAAAGCTTCTTCCAGCAAGTGGATCGAAAGGCAGCCAATCAGGAGCAAGCAGCAGCCATACAGCCATAAACCGGGAGCAGGTACGTCTGTCCAATGCGGAAGCTAGCAGAGGAATGCTGTCTGCACCTAGCAGTAGGTGCGAAGAGCACCGTAGTCGTGGAGGTTCTGAAGCAGAAGCAAGGCGCCTGACGCTTATATAGTAACGTCAGGTGGAAAAAGGGACGGGTAGCTGACGAGGGCATAGTCACTGGTAGGCGGGATTCCCCAGTGGAAGTAGGTCCTACCCAAAGAGATGGGTTAGTTGTAGTAGTAGTTTTTCGTAGTCGTGAAGGTTATGTACATGTCCTCAGAATCAAGATTCCATGATGTTGCGGTGTCAGACACTGGATGGCGAAACGTCTACAATAAAGATACCCAGATGTTGCACATGTGTCTCAATTTCACTTTGAGATTATGTATTTACAATAATTAGTTGCAGTGCAAAGAACCACTAGCTTGCCAAGGCATTATGGGTAGACTTAATTTATGGCTTACAGACTACTTATACTAAAGAAATTTATCATAGTTTAAGTTGTACAGTACTTTCAATAGTAAATATTGAAATTATATTATGGAAATATAACATTGTGATTTGCCGAAAGTACTTTACAGTATGAGAATGCTACAATTGGGTGTAGGGCAGTATTGTTTTGGGTAGGTATTTATACTACTATGTAGTATTAGTCAATGTATGAACTAGGGCGTCTAGTCTTGAAGTTCTAAGATTTAGGTAATTGTGAGGTTTTTGGGTAAAGTTAAATATTGAGTTTTGAGTATTTAGTCTAGGGGTATCGAGAGGAGGAGTTTTGAGGTAATCAGTCCCTTAGCCTGGAATCGCCTACATGGGATCCTATCAGAACGACCAAGGGCTATATGGGAGCCTATCAGAACGACCCAAGGGCTACATGGGAACCTGTCAGTATGACCAAGGGCTATATTGGGAACCTGTCAGAACGACCAAGGGCTACATGGGAAAACCCGTCAGAACGACAAGGGCTACAGAAGAACAAAAAAGGTTAAGAGTCCCTGTAATAAAAAAGATTACTCTAATAAATATCATAAATTGTGCATTAGTGTTGTGCGGTAAAAGTCAGTGAAATGGGCTTATGGTAGTTCAGACTCTGAGCCAATGTTGCAGTGTGTCACCGCCAGCACTACCATCTAGTGGGCCGCTGCAAAGCTCCAGATTCCTTCGGGTCTGTGTTTCCTCAGTTTCTACTCCTCGTAGTAATAACCTTACCTGGTGTACATGGGAATGTGGAGAACCAATTCTCCTCCACTCTTTTCCTGACCAGGAATATTGCTTCATTTATTTTATACATGACCTGGTTACCAATAATGAAAATGGAGTATAATTACCAACCTTTGTAACCAGTGTTTTTTTTTTTTTCATTATAAGCTCTGCTGCTGGCGTGGTCAAACCACAGTAGATGCTCGATAAAACCATACCACGGGTGGGATAGAACCCCCGATCAGAGGAGTCATAAAACTCCAGACCGACGCTTTAAACCACTGCGCCAGTGGCTAACGCGCCAGTCTGGGGTTTTATGACCATCTGATCGTGGATTATATCCCCGTCCGTGGTATGTTTTTTTTTTTGTAATATCTCACTAATTATCATCTCATGAATTATTTTTTTTGTCGGGTGTTTCCCTGACATTGTCTTTTTAACCTGTAAATCATAACTACTGTAGAAGTAAATAAAACAGTGTTAGTTCTGTTAAACATTAAGATTTACATTTGTTGTATTCACATTTAATATTTATTCTTTACATAAAAAGAAGTGGAGTACTTACTCAGCTTCTTTAATGGTTCTTCATAGCTGTCAGTGCATTTTTTATTAAATCAAATAGTGAAGTAAAGCATTGGCCAATTTTCAGGAATATGTTGGTACAACTCTTCGTCCAATGCATCTAAATCTGTTCAACAAATAATATTTATATTTATCTATCACGCATTTGGTATTGCCTTTGATATTATAAGATTTTCTTCATAATAAATTTGCTTCGTCCTCCTCATCTCCTGCTAATAACGACAAATTCGTATTAATACTATCATCAATTAATACTAATCATCAATTAATACTATCATCAATTAATACTATCATCAATTAATACTATCATCAATTAATACTATCATCAACTAATACTATCATCAATTAATACTATCATCAATTAATACTATCATCAACTAATACTATCATCAATTAATACTATATTTATTTATTATTATAAAGATTAGCCTGTAATTAATACTCTCGGCCGGCCTTTTCCAATGGTGGCCGTCTTTGGCTCTCCTCTATTAGGAGTGTCTGAGACCTAAGTCTCCCATGGGAGGAGGCAAGTACATCTCATTTTGGGACCAACTGTCACCAGCTATCACAAGCTAGGCTCTCTTTTTAGCCATCCCTACACTCAAGTGGGCTAATGGAATGACAGTCTTATGAGTTAAAGGCTATCCACTAACTACTCATTCTACACCATGAAGGGTTAGGCATGGTGTCGATGAATTATATACTATCATCAATTAATACTATCATCAATTTAATACTATCATCAATTAATACTATCATCAATTAATACTATCATCAATAATACTATCATCAATTAATACTATCATCAATTAATCTATCTCAATTAATACTATCATCAACTAATATATCATCAATTAATACTATCATCAATTAATACTATCATCAATTAATACATATCTATCAATTAAATTTTCTTTTTTTATTATAATATTATAATTCAAGATAAATTCCTTCACGTGAAGATGTTTGCCATCTTGTTATTTTCGATTTCCTAAGTCTTGTCTGGGGCAGTGAGAGGTACATTATCCAAAGAGTTAGATACCCTCCTATCCTGGGATCACACATTGCTATCCCTTCCTATCCTAACACATGCAGTGGTTCACCATGAATGCACATAATAACTTTGTCATTCACACTATAAATCAATATTCACATACATTGTTGCAGCAGATGTTAGTACACATCAGATAAAACTCACAGAACTACGACTAGTGATAGATATGGCACTGCAATAGACATACATAAAAGGTACAATTGAAATACATAAATACATACTACTGGAGTTATAAATAGGTGAGTAGTAGACATAAAATGTGTCCAGTTCGGTGTTGTCATTTCTCAAGTGAAGAGCTGCCAGAGAGGCAGGAGGGAAACGCAACGACGAAGGGAGGACAATGTAAAAACAAAACAAAAATGAAAAAGCAGGAAATGGTAGAGATGAAGAACGAAGAATGTACTTACAGAAGATAAATCGTTTAAGTTATCTTCCCATGCTTGGTCTGCGTAACAGTTGCCCCTGTCAATGAGAGATAATATCATTGTTAAGCAGATATCGTGCTATCACCTACATCAGGGTCATTAACACTGCATGTGACCTGAACACCAATCGTGAACAATATCTTAACTACAAAATATGATTAAATTTTCTAGATATATATACTACAAAATATATTTTTGTATATAAAACGTCTGTGCTTCATACCCTGTGTGAGTCTTCAATATATAAATGGCAGAAAACATATTTCAGATACCCGTCTGTTGGACATCAAATGGTTCGTTAACAAACTTTTCAGTTGGATAAGACACGTGTGAAACAGTGAGGTGTTTTTATTCCGAAAGTTTCGCCTAAACAGTAGGCTTCTTCAGTCTAGTAGAGGAGGCAACAGAAGCAATAGAAATGTAAAGACGATGTAATCAGTCCATTAGTCTCAAAGACGTAGTTTAGAGATGGTCAGTCCCTCAGCCTGGAGAAGAATTCTGCTCCCATAGTCTGGAAAAATGTGAAGCTGACCGAATAAGAATGAAGGACTAATATACTGTCAATGTGAGGCGCAAAATCTGATGAAAGAAGAGATGGAATAAAATTACCTAACTGTTGCAAGTGTCTTACTTATCAACCTGTCAGTATTGTGACCATTATCATATTCACAGTTAAAAAGCTTGTCTGATTCCAGACAAAATTACACGTTTGATCTTTGGTGCATTGCAGTGTGCCCTTAAAAAGAAAAATGCAGGAAATAAGTCCTTAGCTGAAAGCAACACTAATCGCCTCCTTGTTTCTGAAGCTGCTGTCTGAAGTATTTGAAAGAGGCTACTACGTTGCTTCAAACTAACGCTTTGGAGTCTGACAAGAAAGATTATCAGTGGCAAGAGCGTGTATCAATAGCTTATTTGACAATGCAAAATTAAAACTAGACTGTCCTTCTAGACACAGGAAGGAGTCGATAGTCTACACTGGGGAACTGAAATAAATTCAACGAATGGTGTTCAATGAGGCTATCCTCTTGCCCCATTTCTCGTCTACACAAAGGGTAAAGAAATCTATGTAGGATATACGAGCGAAGTAAACACCTGTTTCGTGGATGATGGAGCACCAACTAGAGGACACAATCTGCTAGACATGGTTTTGCCACCTAGGAATCACTAATTAATAATCTTGAGGTTAATTAATGATGAGCTTGGAGAAAGCGATCACAAATCACTTAGTTTCAACATATCAGGGAATTACCCAAATAACTGCAATCAAGTCTCTGTCACAGATTTCAGCTTTTCCAATTTCTTGGGACTGAGAAATTACCAGGGTGGGCTAAATTGGAACGACCTGACTATGGGTCAGGGAGGTGGAGTTGCTTGCCAATTGACGGCTTTCAGAGCATAGTTCTAGCTGGAAATGTACACATAAGGAGTATAATGTGATCCTTTATTGACAACGTGTCCCACACACAGTGGGCAAACGTACCATAAGATGGCCACCATGCGCACTGACCCCCCACTTCCGGTCCTGATTTCTGGCCCCCCATGCCCCCCGCCAAGCCTGCCCACCTGTGCCTGGCTGCCATGACCATTGCCCACCAGCACCTTCCCGCCTGCCCGCCCGCTCGCGCCGCCCATGCTACACCTTCTGCAGCGCCTTCTGCTGCATCCCCGGATCACCTCCGCTCCTCGAATTTTTTTCGAATATTTTTTTCGAATATTCATATTTTTTTTTCTTTATCCTTATGTGAAGACCTCCACACTCCCATTAAGATCCAATTTTCCAAAATTATACAGGGTTGCCAAATTTTCATTTATTTTCGAAGATTTTTTGTATTCTCCATCTCCTTGGATCAAGATTTAACCCCTCCACTGAATCACCATTTTTTTCTTCAAAATTTCGATTTTTTCAATAATCACAAAGAAAAAAGATTTGACTTTACCCTCCAACTCCTTGGATCAAGACCTCCATCTCCCCCACACCTCCACCACCCACTTCCATTCCCCAAAAATCCCTGCTTCACCTCCTCGGATCAAGATCACCCTCCCCAACTCTCCACACTCTCTAAAGCCGTTATTCCTGCTCTATCTCCATGGATCAAGATTACCTTATAACTCCTCGGATCAAGACTTCCCTCACACCTCCCACCATCAACTTCCATCTAACAAAAAATTTCGATTTTTTTTCCATTTTCTTGTAGTTTCCAACTCCTCGGATGAAGACTCCATCACCCATCACACCTCCCACAACCCGCTTCTCGTCTCCCAAAATCCCTGCTTCACGTCCTCGGATCAAGATCACCCTCCCCATCTCCCATCACCCTCTAAACCCAATATTCCTGCTCCATCTCCTTGGATTAAGATTTACCCTCCACTTTCTCGGATCAAGATCACTCTCCCCACCTCCCCTTCACCTCTAAATCCAATATCCCTGCTCCATCTCCTTGGATCAGAATTACTCTCCACTTCCTCGGATCAAGTTTTGGATCCTCCCTACGGGAGGTGCTCATACGTATGCAAGTCCAAACAAGATGGATGTGACGTCACTGGCAGCTGAGTAAACACAGGTGGGGTGTGACGTCACATGATAACTCCCATGACCTCATCTAGGATACAACACGCTGAATCAAGTAATATTAAGCTGGGTCACTGTGCCCTTCCTTACCTTAATAAACTAAAACACATCGATAACTCTAATACACAATATTTTCCTTCATTTATTTTCCTTTTTATATTTTCTTTAATACATCTTCTTAATTACAAGAATGTCAGTAATAAACATTTTCACTACATTTCATATAAAGCATAGGAAAATATTACCCATTTTCTCTGATTCATCACAGGGAAACACTACCCATTTTCTCCGATTCATCACAAGAAAACACTACCCATTTTCTCGATTCATCACAGGGAAAACACTACACGTTTTCTCCGATTCATCACAGGGAAAACACTACACGTTTTCTCGATTCATCACAGGAAAAACTACCCATTTTCTACGATTCATCACAGGGAAAAACACTACCCATTTTCTACGATTCATCACAGGAAAACACTACCCATTTTCTACGATTCATCACAGGGAAAACATTACACATTTTCTACGATTCATCACAGGGAAAACACTACCCATTTTCTCCGATTCATCACAGGGAAAACATTACCCATTTTCTACGATTCATCACAGGGAAAACATTACCCTTTTCTACGATTCATCACAGGGAAAACACTACCCATTTTCTACGATTCATCCACAGGGAAAACACTACCATTTTCTCCGATTCATCACAGGGAAAACATTACCCATTTTCTCCGATTCATCACAGGGAAAACACTACCCATTTTCTCTGATTCATCACAGGGAAAATATTACCCATTTTCTCTGATTCATCACAGGGAAAATATTACCCATTTTCTCTGATTCATCACAGGGAAAATATTACCCATTTTCTCTGATTCATCACAGGGAAAATATTACACATTTTCTCTGATTCATCACAGGGAAAATATTACCCATTTTCTCTGATTC